TTGGAGCAGTATACGTCGCTCTGATCTCGTGCTGTCGTCGTCAACGTCATTGACTTCTAAATACAACATGATCGGCTGTACAAAGCTAAACGCTATCTAGATGCGGTTAAAATCTCCACCAGTGGCGCTACCAACAGGGGTTTTTTAGATAGGGTTTTCTCTATTAAGGCACCCCCAATCGAGGCGCAACAGCAGTCGGAGCTAAGGTAGCCACTGGAACGAGGCTGACAGCAGCGACACAGGCCTCCTGCCCATTTTGTTAAGTCTGCATCGCGTGCTCCAATTTAGAGCCATTTATCCCAATCTTCTCCTCCCCCTCTAAGTCCGTTGTGTTTTGATATACGGAAACCTCCAACAGCTTTCGGTTTTCGAGAGACACGGACGTTAAAAAGAAATGAATGACGTTTCTCGTATAAAGCTCACAGACGTTTCTGATGCCGTACAAAGCTACTGCGCATATAAATAAATACAGATGTGATGTTACCGCGTTTCGCATGTGTGCACCTACTAACTTCTTCAATATTTTAGTGAAAGAAAAAATAGTGTATTTTTGCCGCTTTTTTTTTCTTTCATTTATTATGAATCGACTGGAGTATCTGGCAGGTATGTGGTTTTAAGCAAGTATGAACATATCATACTAATCTTTCACTATCTATGCTTGAAGATACATGATACTATTTGGTAGCCTTAAGACAGGCTTTCCATTGGGCTTAGTCTTTCTACCCTATGTGATGATTCCTGCAGTTTCTATATAAGAAATAAAAAACCTGTCCTTCACCAGAGGTCTACCGCCGCCCAATTCCGAATCGCTCGGGTATCGCTACGACACCGACCGATAAGCCATCAAAATCATCCACGGACAGAACTCTTCTATCTAATACACATGCACACATTGATATCTACGAGAGTAAAACCACGCACAAAATTTGGTTCCGCGTTCGTTTCCAAGCTGTTCACATTTTTTCGATATGGCTCTGATCAGTGCAGCCCAGTTTGCCAGGGTCCGGTGAACACATACTTGCTCCTGATCCCATTGCCATCTTACGTCCACTGCCTCTCTAACTATGATCACGCAAGAAGCGCCTCAATCGTGATAGCAACTACCCAGAAAAAGGACATGCCAGTGGGGGCACATTCTTCTTTCAACGGCTACAACTGTCGTATTGTACGTCACCCCACATTTACTTAGAGATAAAAGCAGGGCCTAAAGAGGTAGACAAGCAGATAAATTGACTTCGCAAGCAACGAAAGATGACAACAACAGGACACCTCAGCAAATCACGAAATTAAAGAGGGGCGCAAACGTATGGGAATACTGGGCTCGTCACAAGCTAGACTGAACATAGAGGGGGACAGATAACGCGAGAAAGCGGTAACCAATGTAACAAAAATATTCAGTAGGCGGTAGAAGTGGCGGGGCCGTTAGAGTCGACTGGATCTGGGGATACTCTATCGGTGCTCCGGCATGACAACAAAGTCTGACTCCGACTCGGATTGCATCATTTGATTGTAGCTTCGAGATGGAAGATGAACTCTGGGAAAGAAGGAGAAAAACAACAGCGGGAGAGAATTCCTGAACAGATTTGGGTGCCAGAGATTGTAATTATTGCTATGATAGTATTTTCTCAGGCGGGTAGACCGGTCAGATTTGACTGGCAAACGGAGATTTTTATGTTCGGCAAAGGTGTGAGTAAATATGTAGGCGCTTAGAGGCGTATCCGAAGCCTCTCAGAGGCTCTTTTCCGTTTTGTAAGGGAAAAACGTATTTTATATAGGATAGAGCAAATACGCTGTTTCCATTATGTTAACATGTAGGCGAGAGAGTAACTTGTTTTTTGAACAAGTTGAAATATAACCATGTAATAGCGGATATCTATTTTATAGTAACTTCGTTTGCATTACTGCTTCAGTAGTAGATAGCGTCCCAAAATAATTCGCGATTATTTGTCAAAGGCTGTTTGTAAAACGCATTTACACAAAATAGTTCTCATATTAAATATTAGGTAATATATTGAATACTCAGTGGTTGATTTCTTCACATCGTTTTCCTGCATTAATGTAGCTTTGGGCGCATTTTTCTCTCCTTCATTTAAGGCTTGATTTTTGTAGGTCCATATCTCAGTACCCAAAAGACGTTCAACAGAAACAGAGATAAAATTATTAATACCATCTTTAGCTTAAATGTTTATCAAAACCGGAATTTTCTTCAGGCTAATGTTGTCCACTACGCCAATAGCTCTTTCAAGTTAGTACAAATTGAGTAACAAGGTCTTTTTCTCTCTATAAAATGAAAAAGCCTTGCTAGCGAATGATCAGTATCCAAATTATTGAATTAGTTACTTTCACTCTAAGTACAGTCTCCAACACAAAACGAATCGTAAGCTTGACCTAACTGTAAGTCGGTATCTTCTCACTATATTCGCAACAAGTCACAAATCACCATCTCTAAAAATCTACAAACGCAATGTCCGATCCCCTCTAATTATTCTCAGGCAAACCTAAGGCATGCAAGGTTCGTTACAGGTATCTATTTGGTCCTTCAGCCAGGGAAATTTACACCCATTTGAAAAATACCTACTCTTTCCCTCTATCTTGGGGGATCATCGCGCAACACCTATTGCGATGATTCTCGATAGCAAGGGCCTACCAGATCACCCGGAACCTTCCCAGATGCCTTTTATTTCTCAATGTTAACGCCGCATTCCTCTTTAGCTCAACACCCCAGTTTCCCGGGTCGTCTGTGTACCTGTTGATCCGATGAGTGGAATATATATATTCGTTGACGCTATCACTAACGGCTGAGGGCCCAGGATTCAAAAATTGTTCCACATCCATTCCACGATGTTTTCTGCAAATTGATTTCGATACCGTTAGCACTGGCGTGGAATCGCGCCTTCAGTCTTGCAGCTCGTACTGGTGGATGGCGGGGTCCGTTATAGACTGAGAGAAGCGTATTGGTGGTGTTGAATGAATTTGGAGTCGAGGAAATGTTTGGTCGTTTCAGGGAAAGCACAAGTTCATTACTGCATGATGCGGACGATAAAAAACCGGAGGTTATAAGAGGACGAACCATTATTCTAAAGAGGGCTTGTAATGTTGTTTATGCGTGCCTGTAACTCACTCTTGGAAGCTGCCAGGAAAAGAGGTGAATAGAACGCAGATCTGCTGTATAGTCGAGCATCAGATTTCGGTTTTCTGCCTTTTTTTTGCAATAGGTATTGCGGTTTTGGCCTGCATACGACCTGCACGAGCATTTATGGGATACAATGTACTGTAGGATGCCAATGGATACGTCCAATTTAGATGCAACTCTGTGAGGTATCACTGTAGCTGTGAAGACGGGCTGAAACTTTACCCGAAACTGAGAACGCGTGCTTAAAATAACATAGTACCACTTTGTAAAATGCTAATTCCTCTAAGGTCATATGGCTTGCAAGTGTGGTTTCGTCGGTGACTTGGCGGTTTCTGGAAAGTAAGTCCGAATACACCGGTCTTTCGTATCGATTAAACTGTAGGCCCGTAACATTAAGAGATAATTGAACGTCTGTCTGTCGATCCGCGAAAGCAAATTAGAATCATAGTTAGTTAATAAAGGACAACAAGAAATAGTTAAAACTAGATTATTTCCAAACGGAAAAGTTGGTATAATAATTAACCAGAAGCTTCGATCAAATGCTTTATCTGGTACTTACTAAGCCAATATTTGGAAACTTTTAGAATTTTCTCGTAAAGGAGGTTTATAAGTTAATACAACTTGCATACGACACATTCTAAATAGTCCGGCTGTTTGAACTCTGTCCGCAAATAGGAACACCTTAGCATCTGTTTCCGTTCTATATTTAAATCAATATCCAAAGCTATGAATGATCTCCCCATAAATATTTTTTCGTATTTGTAGACTCCCACGGAAGTTACCAAACAGTTCAGTAGATCAGCAGGCCAGACAAATCCGGAAGCTACGGTCTATGTGGATGTAATTCAATTTTTTATCCTCCTGCTTAAAACGTCTTCCAGCATCAAAGCAGGTAATAAGATCCCCATGTACTAAATACGACAACACCGCGATACGTTTATGATCGATATCGATTGAATTTCATTCTGTTACCATAAATATACATACTGGCGAAATCCTACCAAGATCCATTCAGGGACCTCGCACTAAAATCAGTAAAAAAACAAATCCAATACATTTACCTATGAAACGACAGCTTCAAAGCGTCAGAAGACATGATCCATCTTCTGTTAATCACTGCAATAACCTCTTTAGATCGATAATGCCGCATTTGTTATAGCTTGATGACAAAGACCATAGCGTCTCGGTCGACTCCCGCTCACGCAGCTTTCGATTCGCTTTGTGTACATAAAGATGAACATACTTGAAAAACAGCTCGACTAATCATGCCAAGATTAGAGGATTGCATTCCTTGTCCTTTTTTTAATGCGAATCCCGGGGGCGGGGGGGGAGGGGGGTATCTGCAGGCTCTGCCAAAACTTCATCCACGGTCAATAAATCGCTAGCTGCTATCATATTCAGCTGTCGTCGCTACAGGCTCAACAACGACGCCTACGAACACTGGCGGGCTATCAGGTGCTCTTCCTAGGTTTAGGACCGCTATTTAATTATATGCGTGTAACCTACTTGGCCAAGAAAGGACCAGTCGAGAATCCCGACAATCAATAGCGCGCAGTGGAAAGATAAATGGAGTCTAACTATACTATTTAATGCGGATAGGTAACTGGGACAAGCCCTTCTTGTAACTGATGATACGACGGCGTACTCTTTAGGCCACCCGGTTTCAACGGTGTATTTCCACGCTCGTTCTGGCAACGAGCCTAAGCCAAAATCAATTTAGCTCGATCTAAGTTATAGCTTGTAGGTAGTTTAACTACAAATACAAATAAAGCCAAATCATACGACCAGCCATAGAAATCCTCCAGACCAACTTTAGTGATTATTACCAGTAGTTTTTACTACCATTAGTCGTTTATTACAGACGTACCTGGAGAGGACGGACGCATCGGCGGTCGGGAGTGGTGCAACACGTGGTGCTTTTGCAATTGCTGCTGTCCGCTATGATATGAAGACTGTTGCACATGAGGCAGATGGTGCATGATGGTTGTGGACTGGTAAACAACAGAATCGCTGTCGTAGGTCGCCACCGATGAGCTACCAGACGAGTGTGACGAACCAGATGAACCCGTGGAATAACAGGACAGTCGATTGAGCGGTACCTGGTTGCCTTGATTGGTCTGGCATGACTGACCAGCGGTCAAAGTTCCGCCACCGCTAGCGACATTAACGCCGCTGTTCGATATGGCCACGAGTGTTCCACTCGGCTGGGGCACACTTGCGGCGAGCGGAGGATTATTGTTGGTTAAATCGGGTACCGTGGGGGGTGCGACTTTCTTGATCGTCGACGAACGAAGTGTGCCATTTCGTTGAAGTCCGCCTATAATATTATACACAAAAGAAAATAATCCGAATACGTGGTTAAATGTTGACTATAATTATTCAGCGTGGCTTGCTATACAATAGTGTGTGAATGTGGTGATTAATATAATTTTGCCATAATATTACAAGTAGTTAAGTGCTACTTACATGACTTGCAAGCAAATGATGATCTGTCATCACATATAGCTCTTATTTCGCCGTCACTAGTGAATCTAGCCACAAATCGACATGGAAGGTTAAGACGAGATCTCATAACGGCGTTATCAGCTTAACTGGTCATCATGGTATCGAAGTAAACACATTGACTAAATTAAATACTAAACAATTTACACGCAACGCTAAAACTGTTATCGTGACACAGTGTACTGAGGAGGGCGCTTACGTGTTAATTAATAGCCGCCTTGATTCGGATGAAGTCCCGATCCCAGAACAGGCGGACCAAAATTAGAATGTATACAAGTTTGCCGATGCGCCAATATACCTAATATTACTCCAAGTTTTGTTACTAAAAGCAGTCCTCATGTTGTTCCTTCTTATACTCAACATTACTCATAAAGGCTTGGTGAATCGAATGTAAATTTTGTTTTTCTCGACACCGTTGTCACCTCTCCATTTCCTTCCTGGGCCTTCTATCCCCTGTGAGGTTTTGCGTTTTCTAACAGTCTCCTTTTCTAATTCTCCTTCTCCTGTCCTCTTTTAGCTTTCACTAAAGGCATTTCGTTTCAATATCTTCTCTTAGATCTCTTACTAAATTTAGCCACCTCGCACCTATTAACCACCACACAAAATGACTAGGGTTGAATGGTACAGGACTAGGTTGTTTCCGACCATTCTACTTGCCTTAACTTTATCGTCTCAGCCTTCTTGTTGGCGTCGCCCTATTGCGTCAGATGGATGCAGGGGTCAAGCTCAGAGAAGAAGCGGTCCGGCGAGAACGAGTAAAGCCGAAGAGCTATTGACCAAACGTCTCTGAACCGTTTGCGCAGAACCTTCGAACAGTAGATCAAAGCTGACCAAGCGGTCAAGCAAATATTGACACAGCGCAGTCTTTAGCTCCCCAGCAAAGGACTAAAAGCTTTTTGCTCTCGTTTAGGAGCATTCAATCCAAGCAGACCTGTACCGTCTCCCGCGTATTCTGCTCGCAAATTGATCGTCGCCATATTTTTCATGTAACTTAGGCTAAAGGAGAGATAGTTTTCCTAATTCCTCAGGCTGGGCCCCTTTCCAAGGTTTTACCCTCAGCCGCTCCCATAACCATTTTCAAAAAGAAGGTGTAGAGTTAACTACAAAGAAATATTTTTTGAGGTTCAAGTTTCCGAGTAAAAAGCTAATTTTTAGAAAGCGTGCCCTCTTTAGATGTCTGGCTGGACTTAGTGCTTCTGAGTGAAACACAGGCTGAGGCATAACTTAAGGGACTCTTTTAATGCAGACTTGGAGCATCATTTACGGTCAGATTACTGGACAAAGTCTCTGACATTTCCTCTGCTTTCCAACTTAAGCTTTAATTCACATATACATTTGTGAAATATTTGGTAAAAGAAATATAAAATATTGCTGTTTTGATCATACTAAAGAAGATTCATTTGGATTACAGAGATAAAGGGTTCGATTTAGATTTAGGTTACAATGGGATTTTGTGTACCTAGGTAGGATACTCTTACGGGGAGTGCAAATACAAGTCATTGTATTGGTAGGTTTTACAGAAAAAGAAGCTACCTAAAACGTGGAGCTGGTCGAGTGGTATTTCAACATAGAAGTCGTGCTGTTGAAGTCACCGAAAACACCCCTACTAGTTTATATTCTTTTATTGCCGATAAAATATTTGGAACCGGTCTGATTTGACTCTACTCAGATAATTCAAGTACACTTCTTATGCGAGGATATCTATTTTGGGGGGGTACTGCTGCTCTTCACCATTCGACGAAAGTTTTGTGGTCACAGTTGCTACAGTAGACTATGTCTCGTGTATCTAAAACAATAAAACGACAAGCTGTCTTTTAGTTAGCTCTTTTCGATTTGGCCTTTATTCCAATCCTTCATAAATCTCATAACCAGCATTCGTCATCCGCTTATGCTTACTTCGACGTTAAACTGCCATTTGCATTGACGTCAAACGCTACGTCGTTGAGGCCACCAGCATTATTCCACTATCCTTTAACCCCTTATATCGTTTCTTCAGTCGTGCTGGTTTCTTTCCGATATCGAAGGGCATCGAATCCCAGCTGTAGAAGTTATATCTTAGGATTCTCTTAGGGCCGAATCGGTCTCTGATTTACCACACGGCTATGAAGGAGCATCTGTTGCCCTTCTACTTTGATTCAACCTTTCTCCTTCCTCCCTCTGAAAACGACTGCCCTTGCTTACGCCCAGCAGTTCCTAGTGCCTACAAGCCATGCAAAGGCTTCGTCAATCCCAAACGTACTCAGTGCGAAAATAGGAGAGAAGGGTAATAGGAGAAGTGCTGGTGGTGCTCACTGAAACTGGCATCCCCCGTGGGCTTCACGCAGACGAAGAGCGAAAGACATCTACTGTCTGCCCATCGGAATTGGAGGCAGTCGGTTGCCCTTTCTGATATACCATCTACGATAGGCTGCGGTATACAGGGGTTTTTGGATTGGCGGCCTCAAAGACGATGCATCTAATTGCAGGAGCCAATAGGGTGACTAATTCCTAAACACGAGTTCCTGTTTTGTACCGAGCGAGACACCCCATACTCCCCATATTCTGCACTTATTTCCTGAGTTTTTGGGGTAAGTGTGTCAAGGGTCTTAAGTTCATTTATAGAAACATGTCCCGTTACAAGCAAAGTCGATACCGCAATACGAGATCAAATGAGTTGAAGCCTTAGTATTCCGCTATTGCTGAAGGATTCGGAAGACAATAGCTGAAGTTCTTCTTCGTTCTGTCAATACTTTTCGTCAGCAGAAAAAAATCACACGTTAGTGTTCCTTAATTTCGCTCTACGAACGAGCGCAATGCTACAAAAGAAGATGGTATGGTCTGTCGTGGTAGAATTTTGCAGGTTCAGCACAAACCACGCGCTGATTTGCGTGGAAGTCCCCATAATTTCCGACCGCGAACTTTAAAATAGACGACGTTATGTAGGGGAACATGATTTAATAAGTAGCAGCCTACTGACCATGACTGGCAGCAGAAATGGCGAACGAACGACAATGCTAAAGGGAACCGACAAAAGAAATCGGGGTGGCGACCAGGTCTGTCTGTACATGTCTGACGAATAGCGTCCACTCCTTAAGCATATGAATGAAGTAGCACAGTGGTCGAAATTGTACCAGCGCCAAGTGGCCGTCCTAGCGTAGGCCCAATTTGCTGGCTAAAAAGAGGACTGTTTCGATGTCGATGGCTACCGCCTCCAGACCGTTAGTGCTTCGCTATTGTGCAAAGTGCTGCGGAAAACTACAGAGTGTCCAGCAGAGTCCACATATGCATACGAATGGAATGGAGAGACCCTATAGCAGTTCGCTTTCGACTACATTCAAGCGGGATGTATTAGCATACGCACTATTAGTAGCAGTCATATGTTGATTTATGTAGTACGTATTCCAATTCGCATCAGATGGTATCAGTTAAATACGTTATTATATAGCAAGGTATTCGAGTTAGTCGAGGTGAACCTGCACAGAAATTCAAACGCAAATATCGAAGATTGTATTTGTAATATTTCTTTCTTCTTTTCTGCTAAGTGTTTGTTGTTTAGAGAATGTGGCCTGCGTTGCAGTATGTAATTTTCTCTCACAGAAATACGTGGTAAGGCCGACAGATAATACAAAAATTCAAAGCTTGGATATTTCCCCTATAAATTGAATACCAAACAAACTGGATAGCAGTTCAGTAAGGAGATTTTAAGTGCCTAGCCTTTTTCCGCCTGCCCCGTTTTTTAGTATGCGAGCGCGCGCGTCTCTTTTAGTCGGTTTCCTCCAAACCAATTAGGCCATTTCGAGTTTTGGACAAAGCTGTTAACTGCCTCGTTGCGTTTGACAGACACCGATCGCCTAGACCTCTTACAATTGCCTCAACAAGCGAATCGTCTAGATGAGCTAACTGCAGGCGAAATCAAGGAACACGTGGAGAAATCAATTCATTTCTCTAGCTTTTATGTGAACCATTTTCCAACCGCTTTTTCGTACTATCTCTATCGCCCTCTTTATGGTCTTTTCCGCTCTTGCTGTACATGACCCGCTGCTTCACATGCACCTCTGCAAATAATCCACTATTGTTTTGAAGTTCTGTTTGTACCTTTTGCTTCCGCTTTTCCACATTTAAGATGTCCTCTTTAGTTTCAGGTCGACGGACCGAGTTCATCAAATCAGCAGGGATTTAGCGCTGAAACGTTGTTTGCCGCTGTCGCCTGCTTCCTTGCCACTACCGTTGGTTATTTTTGAGGCAAGGAGCTTCTGAAATTTCGCCAACTCAAAAGTAACTTCTAGTTACAGTGTCAAGGCAGATGGCGTCTAACCGTATGAGTCAAGTGGCGGCCTGCGATTGCGACTACGGGCCTGGACGAGCTGAAGCAAGCTACGTCGTAATACACTGGATACACTTAAATTAATAGCTAGACCCCACAAATGAGTCTTCTGAAAACCCGACAGGCACGTATGGATACAACTGTGTTTACGCATCGGCAGATGAGGTTCATGCATGTTCTTCGTATTCGCGCTAGCTGAGGAAAACTATCGTAAACGATAGAAACATCAGTGCAATGATACCTAACGGATAACAACGGCTGGACAACCTTGGTGTAGGTTTCATTTTCTTCTCCATAAGAAGAAAAGTAATGGAAGGACTGTCTGTGCGTGAACAAGGAAAATTTTCTGGAGTTCAGCAGTCGCTTCTCTTGCCTTACCTGCACCCAACTTCCAACCCCCGTAGATGCCGTGACCTCAATTACCACAACGGTTTTGTTACCGTTTTTGTAGAACTAGTAGAAACGAACAAATGTATAAGTATGTGTGAGAAACGCAATAAAATGAGAAACCA